TCTTATCATCAGCAAAATTACTATGTTGTGTTCACTCTGGTGCCTAGTAGAGTGTCTGTTATGTGGCAGGCACTCAGACACGTTTGTCAGATTGAATCCCCATCACTCAAACTTAATAAGACCTGTATCATTTAAATGTGCAGACAGATACTAAAGTTCTTCAGAGCTACAAAACATCATCAGACATCCACTGGCAGAAACACTGATTGATATCATATCCGACACACTATGTTAACATCATCTATAATAAATGAATCTAAGTTGTATTGGCCATTTTTCTTTTTTCTTTTTTTTTTTTTTTGGGTTGTGGAGGGAAGAGTATTTAGGTAAGAGGTTATTAAGGTCTTTATTATGGGATGTTTGATAAAAACCAAGTATTTGAATTTGTGTTCCACCTGTGTTTGTAAACAGTGTTTTTTCTATAAGGAACACTTTTACAATATTGCCAAAATTTGCTTATCAGAAGCACTTTCTCAACTTGCAGTTTTGACTTTTGTTGGTGATACATGCCAACCATTAGGAAACCCCAAAGAACTAGATAGAAGAATAAAAGACAGAAGAATTTGCCTTTTCTGGAGGAATTAAGCCTTTTTATAGGTATTAGTGTGGTAGGGTAACCGGTGGTGTGGTGGTTAGGGCAACTGGATCTCACGTGGCCAGCTGCATGGTTCAAGTTCGAAAGCAGAAGTTTAAAGGACACTCTGGGATCAGGGTACTGCATACCCAGAGTCCCAAGAGAAAAATGGAGGAGAGGGGATGGAGGTGTGGCCATCTTCCCTGGGGTGTGCTTCCTTACCCCACCCCATTTCTATCTCTAATGAGTATACAGCAAATTTTTTAAAAAAGAAGAAAACTATGGTAAAATGCATTGAATGCCACAAAAGACCATTGACTGGGGAGAGACCAGGAAGTACCTGTCGTTCTATTGTTCCCTTATCCTTGTAAATTTGGTAGAAATTTCCCAAAGGAGAGGACCAGCAGGTGGCATGGTGGTGAAGTCACTGGACACTCCCACATGGTCAACCATGGTTCAAATCCTGGACCTGGTGGCTTGCTTTCTCACTTTCTCTCTCTCTCTCTGGTAAAAATAAAAAATGAATGAATAAATAAATAAGTAATTCTTAAAAAAAAAAAAAGAAATTTCCTAAAGGATTGAATTGAACTACTCAATTTAATGGAATATACTTATAGTGTTTGTATTAAGCTTTGTACCAAGTTTTTTGTTGTTGTTGTTTTATTTCTGCCAGAGAGTGTGCATGCTCACTGGAGAGAGAGAAAAGGAGAGAGAGAGAACTCCTCCATGGGGAATGGTCATGCCACAATCCTTTCTTCTCTAATTCTTCCTCCTCTCAGGATTTTGGGCATGCATGCATACACACCTGCCCTGTGTGTGTTTAAAGTCACTGGGTTCAGGATTCAAACTGGGGTCAGTCATGTGGGATCCAGTCTCCCTAACTACCACTCCACAGGCTGGCCCTGTACCAGGTGCTTTTAATGGATCTTTTCATATAATCCTTAGAAAAAGTCTGACCCAGTCTTCATTTTACAGATTAGGAAACTGAGGGCAGGCAAATTTGGTACCAGGCACAAGGTTACCTAGTTTGTAGATGGGAGAGCCAATAGCTGAGTGCAGCAACAGCAAGGCTGGCCCTGAGTCATCCCTCAGTTTTCTTATTGTAAATTGCAGCTAACACAATTTCTACCTTTATACAATCGTGAATATTGGATAATACAGTACAGACCCTGCAGCAATGCCTGGCACCTAGTAGGTGCTCATTATTAGGTAGTTGCTATAGTAATAATTTCCCTAATTAACTATCATAATGCTAAGAGGATACTTAGTATTTTTCACTGTAAGCCCCTGTAGAATTACAAGATTAAAAGTAATTAATAAATTGTGTACTCTGAAAGAGGTAGGATGTTTTCATGTAATTAATTATACATATTGTTTAGTGATTTGGAATGAATGAAAAAAATGAAAATCTACACTGTGAAGCTATGTTAAAAGTCAGGAACTCAGGAATAGCACTTGACATACATAATGGCTATGTCGCTGGACTCCCATGTAGTTGACCGCGGTTTGAGTCCCAGACCTGGTGGCTTAAACACACACCAGGCTCATGTACATGCGTGCCCAAGATCCCGAGAGGAGAATGGAAAAGAAGGGATTGCGGCCATCCCTCTGGGGAGTGATTTCTCACTTTCTGTCTCTCTGTCTTTCTGGCAAGCGCACATGCCCTATAGCAAAAACCTCTTAAAAAAAAAAAAGTCAAGAACTCCTTTATTGCCAAAGTAATTACAGATACTCTTCAACTTATAACAAGGTAATGGCCTGATAAACTTATCATAAACTAAAAATATCTTAAGGTGAAAATGCATTTAATATCCTGAAAAGCCCATCTTAAAGTTAAAAAAAATTATGAATTGAAGCATTATAAATTGGGGGTCATCTATATTTGTTTTTTATTCAATCAATTTTCTCACCAGTACCCTAATATAAGAAGTTAAAACTTCAGAAATGATTTTTTAAAATGAAATTTTTTTGAGATCAGCAGTTGGCGTAATGGCTATGTCGCTGGACTCCCATATAGTTGACCACGGTTCAAGTCCTGGACCCGATGGCTTAAACTCACACTGGGCACGTGTGTGTGCATGCCCAAGGTCCCAAGAGAATAATGGAGGAGAAGGGATTGCAGTGTGGCCATTCCCCCAGGGGGTGATTTCTCGCTTTTTGTCTCTCTGTCTCTCTCTGTCTCTCTGGTGAGCGTACATGCCCTATAGCAAAAACCTCTCCAAAAAAAGGAAAAGAAAAGAAATCCTTTTTATCATTTCTACGATTTTGAGTTATTTGAGTAGGGCCAGGAAGCACCCATAGTTTTACTTTTTGGATTTGTTTGTATGTAATGCAGAAAAAATTTTACATACTTCTAAACCTTTCTAAAATAAAAATTTATGCATGTGTGTTTGTATGTGTTTGTGTGTATATAGTCATCATTGCTTGATGACATTATAGTCAATGATGAACTGCATACATTACGGTGGTCCCATAGATTATAGTAAGCTATGCCATCTAGGTTTGGGTAAGTACACTGTATCATATTTGCACAACTATGAAATCTCTTAATGATTTATTTCTCAGAATATACCCCCATTGTTAAGTGACACACGGTGTGTGTGTTGTGTATAAGCTTTTAAATTTTCAGCCTAAAACAAATCTTTCCCACCAGAGCCCTGTATATATTAAGATTGCAATAGTATTTCCCTTTTAATTTTTACACTTAAAACACTTTTATGTTTCTGCAAGTTGGACCTTGTTTTCTCAACTGGGAACTTAGGTGCCTCTGCCTTAGTAGATGTTTGAGATTTAAAAAAAACGAATAAACCCACCTTCTCCCCACTTAGTCAGAGAAAGCACCTGTAAGCAAAGAGCTCTGTGAAATTGATGAGCAGAATTATTTTGTCTCAGGACTCCAATTTTCACATCAGTTTGAGATAACAGTAATAATAATATCAACACTTATTGAAAGTGCTTGGTGTGGTCTGTTACTGTTTCAAGTCCTTTGCTTTAGTTCATTAAGTAGCCTTTTATTCTTAACTATCTTTAGCATATCACTTAAGTGAAAGCAGTGCACCAGTGATTTGTCTGTGTGTGGGGAACAGAAGGGGCGAGGGGTGCTAAACCTTGTGGACCAGTGCTTAATTTAATGAACAAAATCCAACAGAAAACAGTATCTTCCTGTGTACCTTACCCTGAGCTCTAAGTTCTCACCTTGTTCAAGACAAGACAACCATAAAGAGGGAGATATGAACAACTGGAGTTAAAAATGAACCCGATTTTAAAGAAGAATATTTTTATTTTGGGGTGAATGAATGGCTTTCAAGAGCAATGTAAGGGGAAATACAGAAATTTTGGATAGTGTTTCCAAAAACATGTAAGCAGATTTAAGATCGCCTTGGTCTGCCTGTTTCTCTTCCACTCCTTCTTGGTCCCCTCTCTGTTAGGCAAGAAGTTCAAGTTCCAGACACACATTTGACCTCCAGTTTTGGGTATCCGGGCACAAGTGGGCGGCATTGGGCGCGCCTGAGGCTTTGGTCTGACACCTGGGCCGACACCTGGGCGGCATTTCCATGCCTGCCCGTGTTTTCCTCCATGCCAGGCGTCCACTTGGCGGCGGCTTCCCATTCATGCTTTTGACATCTGCACGGCCGCTGGGGAGCCAAGAACGAGGTGCCCCCTGCACCAACCCCTCTATCCCCTGGCCCCGGCCCTACGCGGAAGGGCCGGATGGAGACGACACCAGGTGGTGCTCAGGGGCCGGCCTGCCGGCTCCACCATAGGTGACTGCGTTTCCGACTTCGCCCTGGCTCCACTCCGGGGGCTTGACGTGCAAACTTCGCCGGAGCGAGCTGAGAGGGAGGGACCGGCGAGGGGGAGGAGGCGGCGGGAGGCGCCTCCGCTTAAGGGAGCCGGCCCGGCGCCGCCGCTCCGACGGGCGCGCGGGCGGGAGGAGGGA